TCTAATGGAGGCATGGGGCTGGTGGACATTAAATTAAAAGGTCAATCACTTTTACTTAAATGGCTAAAGCAATATTTTAATCCTGTAAATAATACTTTTTGGAAATATACAATGACCTACTTTCTAAATCTATATGGGTCATATGGCCTAGACAAAGATATTTTTAAAATACATTTTAATTACAAACTTTTAAATATTTTACCATCTTTTTATAAGCATCTTTTATTAGCTTGGAATAATGTTAATAACAACTCTAGAGCAGAACCTTGTACATTAAATGACATTGCTGTACAGCCTATTTTCAATAATATTTAACTTAACCACAATAACAAAGTTTTAGCTTATAAATATTTTATTCATTCAGATATTTTAACTTTTTATGACATTTTATATTATGTAATACCAGGATTTCTCCAAAACCACTCTATTATTGATATTATTGAAGAACAATTCCCTGAACTGGATGAGAATAAAATAACAGACACATTTGATCATATTAAAGCATCAGTACCAGCAACTTGGAGGGAAATTATAGACTCCAGCTCCTTTAATGTACATCCTGGGGAAAATTTCTTTAATATATCCAATAGTAAAGTGTCTCCTGACCAGCTGACATCTAAATTCTGTTATAAGATATTATCTAAACTTAAAGATGCAACACCTACTGCTGTTCATTACTGGGAGAAACAGAATTTGGGTGTCAACTGGCCACAAACTTTTAATAATGTCTTTAAAAATTATAAATCGCCTAAAATGATTGACCTAGATTTTAGAATTGCACATAACGTAATATGGACAATGGCCAAATTAAAACGCATCGAGAAAGTTGAGAGTGACCTCTGTCCAGTTTGTGGGGACGAGCCCGAAACCATAGAGCATTTATTTGTAGATTGCCTGGATTTAAGTTTTTTTACATACCTTATAGAACAAATGTTAAAGGATATTTTACCTTTTACTTTTACCAATCTAGATTTTAAATGTTTTATGTTATTTGGTCTCCAACATTTTAATAAGTCAATCCCCTCTGAACTTTTAAATATCATTTTATCCTGTGCTAGACAAACCATTTTAACTAGAAGATATGTTTATATTGATAAACCAAATGCAAATTTAGATTTAGTTATTTTATATAAGAATGTTTTAGCAAATGCACTCATTTATTTAAGAGAATTTTTTCCTAAACATGTTTTTATACAGAAGTTTATTTTACCTTCCTGTTTTGTAAATATCCAGCTTGATAACTCAATCAATATAGAATTTTGTTAATTTTAATAATGTAAATAGTTAATCCTTTTAAATGGATTTCCCTCTTTAAGTATAGTATAATTACCACGTGACTTCACACATTCCTAACTGTTCATTGTGTAAACAAATATAGCAGACGAATAACAGATAATGCCCTAGTTTTACCTCAAACTAGGTCTAAATTCTTTTATTTTTATACGTTGAAGGGATATTCCTATGATCCTTACATTTTCGATTTTGTCCGTAAGGGTCATATTTAAAGAATATCTCTGTATTATAGCCTACCTTTTTTAACTGTATATAGACCTATTCTTTTAACAGACCGTTATACCCGCTTTGATAGTACGCCACGTGCTTTCACCTGCCGTAATGTCAAAGCGTGAA